AAGACACACACATTCAGGCACACACACAGAAACACACACAGACCACATAAAAGGTCACACAGATAACATACACATATGTACAGAGTTACACACAAACCACCCATATACTAACATGCTAAACACACAGACACATACACAGTCACACACACGGATGTGACATACATATATACATATTCACACACATATGCATCCACACACCCACACACATGCTCACATGCATACACAGACATATGCACACACACGCATGCAGAAAAATACACAGAAACACACACACATGCATGCACACATGTTCACAAATACATACCCACATGCTCATACACACACACCGATACACACATGCGCACACATGTGCACACACAATCACACACTAAATAAACAAACAAAAATTTTAATAAAAGGCTATTTTTCAGCCCTGTAATTCAATCTACTACCATCTATCTATCTGCAGCCTTTAGTCTTAGTTGAAATTATTGAGAGGTGGAGGACACTTACAGCTCCACCTCTCTAGTGTGATGTCTAGCGCTTGGTTATTTGCATTTGCTGTTGTGTAACAACAGGAGCAGCCTGAGGAGACAGTCGTTAGTGCCATATCAGTGGATCTCAGTCTCATCAAGAAGATTACCAAGTGATTCTTGGGAAGCGTGAAAAATTGGAGAAGAAAAGAGCTTCCTTGTGATATAATGACAAAGGAAGATTTCACATAAAAATCATTTATACTCCAGCCACAATCTTCCTGATCAGAAAGATAAGCCAGATTTTTTCAAATGTCTTTCTGTTTCATGGGCTCTAATGAGAAAGGGAAGTCATGCATGCTTAGTACACCTAAAAAAGATAATCAAGAGAGCGGACATGGGGTAAGATTATCAATCCTCGTTTAGAAAGACAGATGGGATGTGTATTGAACGTATGACAGGAGTCTACTGAGGGCATCTGAAAGACTCTAACTAGCAGTGTTTTCAAAGCAGATACAAAGACTCATGACCAAACCTTCGGCAGAGTACAGGGAATCATATGAAAGAAGGGGAGTTAGTATGATGGGGAAAGGATAGGAGCTCCACAAAGACCAAATATATCTGGGCACAGGGGTCTTTTCTGAGACTGACATTCAACCAAGGACCATGTATGGATACAACCTAGAACCTCTGCTCGGATGTAGCCTGTGATAGCTCCGTAACCAATTGGTTTCCCATAGTGAGGGGAACAAGGACTATTTCTGACAGGAACTCAATGACTGGTTCTTTGGCCTCCCCACCCCCCAAGGGAGGAGCAGTCCTGTTAGGCCACAGAGGAGGACTTTGCAGCCAGTCCTGAAGATACCTGATAAAACAGGGTCAGATGAATGGGGAGGAGGCCCCCCCATCAGTGGACTTGGAAAGGGGCATGGTGGAGATGAGGGAGGGAGGGTGGGAATGGGAGGGAATGAGGGAGCAGGATACATCTGGGATACAGAGTTAATAAAATGTAACTGATAAGAAAAAAATAAAATTAAAAAAAAAGAAAAAAAAAGGAGGCTGAGAATGTCCACTTCATTGATTGCCTGCTACAGTCGAGGCTATAGCAATACAGTATATAATCTTGCAACAGTCTCATGAGATAGTTGTTAAAAATCTGAACTAATAGGTAGAGAAGTTGATATCAAAGAGGCCACGATACAAGTGAGTTGAAAAGTTGGAATTTGAAGCCAGGACCCTGTAATTTCAAAACCGAAGCTCTGCAAGAATTGTCTGCATGCAATCCTAGAATACACGGACATGCAGAAGGTGCTATCAAACCACAGAGGCGACAGTGCCGAAGACCCGGGCATGGTAAGAGCAAGAGGATCAGCATCATGGCGTTCTTCTGTCAGTGCTCATCTGATGGACATTTGAGTCTGGCTGCAGGTGGGAAATCAGAAATATTTGTGAAGAGTGTGTGTGTGTGTGTGTGTGTGTGTGTGTGTGCACGTGTGTGCATGTGAAATTAGGACCTGAGGGCCGACAGACAATAAGTTCAGTAAATTTCATTAGTTTCTTATTTCTACCTTAGTCTTGGACAGCTGAGCTTGCTGGCTAAGTTTCCAGTGACTACATAAGTAGTGAGGCTCTTTGCCCCTAAGGAAACTGGTTTCACAGAGTAGAACTATTATATCATGATATTGTCTTGTGATTCACAGTATGCTCCCACTTGAGGTGTTTCAAATGTTTAGGATTGGTGATGAGGGGTTCCAAATTTCTTCCTGTTTGGCCCAACACTGTTTGTGAGTAAATACTTGACCTTGGCTGGGGAGGGGCAGGTAAGAAGGCTGAGGCAGAACGTGTGGGAATATGGCCTGTCTGTGCTGCTCCATCATGGCTCTCGTTACTTAGCCGTTGTCCCTAACCCCACCCACTGAAACTGTCCTCATAAACTCTGTTAATGTCAGGCATTGCCCCCTCAGTGGCCTTCCAAGGCTAAATTCTAATATCTGATAACTCATACTCTTTAATACAACTATTCTTCTCACTCCCTCTGAATTTACCTCCTACTAATTTTACTGTGCATCCATCTCCACCATCAAGAGAAAAGAGACTAATAAAACGTCAGAGAAAAAAAACAATTTGAATCAGTATATACTTTTTCTTTTCTTTGTCAAGGTTCTCTGGACATTTTGATTTCCCCAAGGTAACCGGCCTTCTCTGGTGTGGGCTGTCTAGTGGCTTCTTATTCCAGTTGACAGACCATGACGGTTCCAGGGAATAGAGTCAACGTAATGTGAAGACTGTAAGAACAGCTGACATCATAGGATACTTTATGAAAAGGCTTAGAGGTCATTTTTTGTACACTCATCATGTTGAACACAGCCTTTTCATGGTAGGCCAAGATGGGAGCTAAGATTTAACATATGTCTACATGTGCTTGGCGCCATATTCCATTGCCCACGTCTCCACCACAATCCTATACAAGTGTCTTCATTCTAAGTGTGCTAAGACCAAGCAGCCAGCAGAGCATACTAAGGCTCCATGTTGAATTCATGTCTGCTTGAGTCTCATTTCACTATGTGATTTGCAACCACAGCACTCAGTACCCAAAGCATCATTCGTGGAGTGACATCTTCAAGTGGTTGTTGCCACTCCTGTGGCCAAGTCTGGGTTTGAGGTGTGTGTGTGTGTGTGTGTGTGTGTGTGTGTGTGTGTGTGTGTGTG